CCAGCAAAGCTGTCAATCAAATACGATGGTGTAATCAAAACATTCCAGGATAAACAGAAGCTAATGGATTTTGCCAAAGCTACCCTGCTATGAAAACCATCCTAAAGGAAGTTCTGTGGACTGAGAACCAACAAGAACAGACAACAACCAGAGAATAATGTACGTTGCAGCATCAACCTGAATTCAGTCAACAAATGGAAGCGTCAAGAACAGAACAAAATTATAAGAACAGAGGATCTGGGGGGGTCAGTCTATGATCAAAACAATTACAATGTGATAAAAGGTAAACACAGAGAAACAGAGATCCAGGTGGTGATAAGTTCAGGTAGAATACAGGATAAAATTGACTTGTGTTAAATGGAATAAAAGGTAACCACAATAGTGGAGTTGGGGTCAGGGGTCTAGTTCAGGTGTTGGGGAGGGCAATACAAGAAGGGGGAGGAGATAGAACAAGATAGGGGAACACTGAGACAGGTTTGCATGGGCTGAGTGGGACATAGGTAAATAGTGATACATGCTCAACCTTGGAACAGGGCTCTGTGATTCAGGGATCTAGGCATAGTCTGAAGAGGGGAAATAATACCAAAATGCTTGACTGTCTTATGAATATTGGTTTCCCTTGCCTATTATTGTAAAATAAGACACTTGAGTAGGATAGAAAGGAATGTTGGGAAACATGATTACAGAAAATCTGTAAGCCCCCATCTTCAGCCTATAGCTGATTTGAATACCTAAAAGGGGTTCTAGAACTTGCCCAGTGTACTAGGCCTCTTGCAAAGCCTTTGCAGAGAATAGGACCTTAGGTGGAATCCTGAGTCCTGTCTAGAACTTTTTGAGGTGGGCCATTCCCACAAGGACAAGCAGACCAGCCTGGAGCAGCTAGAGCAACAGAAGATGCATCTTCAAATAAAGATCATCAGGAAAAACCCAAAACAAAATGTCAGCATGACTGGCTACTACAAGAATAAGCAGGATGTTCGCCAGGAAGCCATCAAGACAAGCAACCAAGTTCCTTCAAGACAAACTCCCCTCTAAGACTGAAGCTCAAAGGGAACACACAAACAGGCACATAAGCTTGCTGGTGACCACATTGGTCTACTGGTGAGTGGAAGAGGGGGAAAGGGAGCAGTGAAGAAATGGGCTGAGTTCAACCACAGTCCATTGACTCCCATTGACCTGGAGATGAGAGAGAGAAGAGGAAGTTCTGGTTGGTCCAAAGTTGATGAGATCTGGGGACACTTGAGCCCATGGACAAGGACATAGCCACAGAGGGCTAGAGCTGAGAGTAAAGCATCCAGCTGATATGAAGAGCGGAGATGCACAAGAACACCCAAACTTGCAGACAGTACCAATTTGATCTAGCCTCGATGGCTTGATAATCAAAACTCGACTAGAGAAACATTACCCCCCAAAAATATTTTTTTTAAATAAAGAAAACAAGTAAATTGCTACAATTTTACGAACCTGACCTATACTCATGGAGGTAGTAACTCTAAATACCAAGAGAGAAAGAAGGAGTCTTCACATCAAGGATCAATGCTATACCCTCTGTATACTGGGTAGATAGGGCCAGGCAACTCAGACACTGACTACCTAAAATGTGGGGGCAATAAAGGCACGAAGTGCCTATTGCTTACAAGGTTTCAAGAGGGAGTTTAGTTTAAAAGTATGGGTGGGAAGAAAGAGCTCCCACTGAATAGTTTTCATCTTGTCTAGCTGGGTCTGGTGAAAAGAGATGGGGATAAGATTCGTATGATTCAATAGTGAATAACTGTTATCGTGACTAATTGCAACTTATCACAATTGTAAAGGCATAAGTTTTGTAACAAAAACAGGGGAGTGGTGGTTAATCTTGCAGTCCAGAAACAGAGAACCCTAGGACCATCAAGGGAGACGAGCATGAGCAAAATGCAGGACCTTATCCAGAGAAATAGTGACACCAGAGATGGAGGTAGAGATGGGGTCATGCAGGGGACAGGGGGGAGAGGCTGAGGACTGTAGATTCATGGGAAGAGAGGGACTAAAAGCAGGTGGCCAGGAGGCAGACTTGCAGAATGTACCCTTCGGAGGTGTAAATTGTTACATATGCCTGTGTATTTTTATCTTCAAAAAAAAAAGCTAAAGTGAATAGAGGGAAATACTGCTAACTAATGGTATATTATTGTTGTTAAGTGCCATCAAGTCGATTCCAAGCCATAGCAACCCTGTATCGGGGTTCCAAGGAGCAGCTGGTGAGCTTGAACCACCGACCTTGCAGTCTAACGCATTAGCCCATAGTGCCACACCAATGTCACATTGAGGGGATTATAATTCTTGTAATGAAACAAGGTATATGATTTGTTGAATGTAAAACTGATGATCTGCCCTGTGAACTTGCACTCAATCCACAATAAAAACCTTAAAAAAAAATGCATGCTGCAGGCCATCTAAATTGGAATCTTTTAAGTATGAGACAGAAATCTGGGACCCACTGGACTCAGTCAGTTAGGACCATAGGAAAACTCTAATAGCTTAGTGTCTGTCACAGCAGCAAAGGAAACTAAAGCCTACAGTGGACAGAACTTCTCTTGCACCCATCCCCACGGCATACTGTAGAAACTTTTATCCCTTCCATGTCTATTTCAGAAAACACCAGAGTACAGTGACTGATACAAACATAACTTATACTATAAATAGGTGTTTGCAGTATCATATGTTACCATTCACTTAAGCACATCACATGAACAGCTATTCCCTGGCCCATAATACAACTGAGGCTATTATTTGGGGCTACCCCACAGGGCTTTCATTATTAGGCTGTAATCGTTCAGGGCACAGGCTGCCAGGTCTTCGTGGGTCTGAACCACCCCTTTTGGGTTAGGAGTGAGCGCATAACCATTACTTCCTAGCACGCTACCAGAAGTCAGATCACTCGGCCCTGCAGGGACAATGTTAAAGCGGTGTGTTGTTGTTCAGATTATGACTTAATATGTGGGGGATTTCAAAAAATTTGGGGAAAAATAACATGAAAACACAATGGAATTTTCCATGAACTTTTTGAAGCCCCCTCATACTTACTTGGTTTTAATAAAAAAATTTTAAGTTCTCCATAGACAAAATGTCCCTTCAGAAATATAGATAAATAGATAACTAATAAATAATTCTAGTAGGGATCTGAGGTACACTGAGATAAAGAAGCTTGCCCAAACTCCCACATCTAGAAAATCAGGTAGTCTATCTCACAATCACCAGGCTATCTATTGAGTCTCTCACAGTATACACTCTGACCATGCTTGTTGAGTGCCATTGAGTCAGTTCTGGCCCATAGCTTTCCTAGGAGTGACTGGTGAGCTTGATCCGCCAACCAGGCAGTTCAAATGACTTTGCAGACCAGTGCATTAACCTACAGCACCACAGCAGGATTCCCTGACCACGCTTAAAAACATCAAAATAGGCTACTCTTGAATTCATCAAACTGAATAGTTCACTGCTTCGCTGATAACACCTTTCACAGTGTCACACTAAGGACAAGATGGTTTCTTTACAGAATAGATGGGTTACACGAACAGCAAAATATAGTGAAATAAAAGGGGATTTCAAAGTCGACGGAAAAATTATCCATTATCTTTGAATCCCACTTTCCAGACTTTTTGAAGTACCCTCATATCTGTAGGACTGCAGTGGCTCCACACAATAAGCACTGGACCACGAACCACAAGGTTGACAGTTCCAGTCCACCAGTAGCTCCGCAGAAAGATGAGGCTTTCTGCTCCCTCAAAGATTTAAAGCTTCAGAAACCCTATACAGGCTTTGCTGTGAGTTGGAACCAACTTGACAATACTTAACAACAACATATCTGTATGTAGTTTTCTAAGAGAAGTCGGTACCCAGGTATACAGTCAATTCCTTAGAGTTGTTTACTACAATAATGAGCACATCAACTCCTACTATGTTCACTTCAAAGAAAAAAAACAAAACATAAAAACAAACAAATAAAACACATTAATCCAAATCACATTTTGGAGATTTTTATTAATTTAAATTGACATTCCTAATTCTGTTTGCCAAGTCCTTAGCAAATACACCTTTATTTGATGCAATCCTATAGGTGTTTCTTAATAATACTACAGAATCATGAAGACTTGCAGTTATCAATGTTTTGTAGTGATTAAAACAATGTTCAAATAATTATCAAGTTACTTCACTGAAATACTTCAAAGAACATTCTAGGGAGTGTCTGAAAACTGTTTTATAAATAGTGATTGATATAATTGTCTTGTACTCGGTGCTCAACATAACCACTTCTTCTATAAAATATTATTTTAATACAGTGCCCTAATGTGTTGCTAAGACTACAGAATAAAGCTTTATCTTCATATTTATTTTATTCATAGGCCTCTTATCAATTAAGAACTCTGTATCCAACATTAATACACAGTCATATCACAACTGACATTCTGTAGAAGCAGAAAAGGTTGCAACAAAACAAACTATTTAACTGCATCATATACTCTTTATACAAATAGCTCACTCTGAACAGTGGACTTGAATGCAGACAAAATGCTTTTGAGAGTTTGTTTGCCTCGATGGCAGTTACAACCTCCACACAGTGAAAAGGAAAGGAGCAGAGTCATAATACACACACAGTATTTTCAATGCTTATAGCACGTTTAACCCCTTCATCCATCCAATGGGTGTTAGATCAAAGTGGTAACTGAAATTTCACATCCACCTGGGCTTGCTTGGCCAAGGCCACTATTTCTGAAAGCTTCACAACCTGGAAGGAAAAAAACAAAGCATCTTTGTCTCTATTTTCACCAAAATGTAAAATTGGAATAATTGAAAAACATTCACAGTCAATCTTTTTTCATTTAAAACACCTGGGCTATTCTGGCATTGTTTTAAATCACATCAGATTCTTACAGCAAAAGCCACTCAAAAGAGAGTCAGAATTGACATTCTTCAAAACCTATCCTTCAAGCCAATACTTTGTTTTATATATATATATACAAGAGAGTTTCAAAAATTGGTAGAAAAATCCCATTGTCTTTTTATTCCATCTTCTCATATTTTGTTGGATATCTCACAACACAAAACATGGTCCAAATATAAGACTGGGTCTAAGAATTCATATTTTACTATCTGTCAATAAGTTCACAGTTACCGACCTGAATTCTAATGCCCTCTACACAATGAGAATATCCACCTGATACCATACAAAGTACCATACAAATTAGACATGTCTAAAACCAAACAAATTGGGCTACTATTCACACACACTGCTTATGTTTAAAAAAAAAAAAAAGGAATGATACACCAAAAACTTCTTTCTAAGTGAGAGAACAAGAAAAGATATAAAAGCTAGATTCTCTGAGAATACCTTATTTCATAGTTTTAAACTATATAAACATTATATGATACATAACAAAGACAAGTTGTTGTTTTTTTAAAGCAATCCCATAACATTTAAAAAAAATAAAGTAAGTGAAAACTGTATGTCAACCTGGGACAAAACACAGAGCGGCATCTCATATGGGATTTAAAATTTAGCAAGTTGTGGTAAATATCTAACAGACAGGCAGAACTGCATGCTCAAACCTTGAACTGTTTTCAGTTAATTATAATGTAAGTTGTTAATGTAAAATGGTCAATGGTCCTATCTGTATTGAAAGACAAAGCAGATGCATAATTAACTTAGAGCAGCATGGGAGAAATAAGAACAGATGTAAGATAGCAACCTACACTCTAGGATTTACACTGCCAATATCAGTACGAAACCATGTATTTATCTCTTTAAAAATAATAAGTTTCCTATATTTTCCCTGAAAGAGTACAGAAACAAGGAGCAATCCCATAGTCATGAGCACCCTTAAAGACTTAACTGTGGTCTCTGAATGCCATTTGGTTGACTCTAGGTTTGGGGCAAAAAAAGCATAGAGCATCTCATCCTATCTGAAGGACTCAGGAGTCAATCAGAAGAGGTTCCCACTGAACAAGGTTGGGGCAATTTAATAATCCATAAGAATAACTAAAATGAACTGAACCATATCAAATATATTTACATCTATTAGTTCACAAAAGCAAGTGTGCCTGTGGGCACACAAGCACACAAACACACACCTGAAAAAAAAAAAAATATAAGAAACAAAAAAGCCTTGGTTATCCTTTGAGGACATAAGAACACAAAGTCATTATTCTCAAAATTGGAAAATGTGCTTATGCAAAATGTGCTTAGTGGTAGCAAATAATTGATGTAAGAGCTTTCACTTTTTAGAAGTATTCTATATCACAAGTGGAGAATGACAGAAATAAAATATCAACCACTGTGCAAACATAAATGAAATAAGGAATCTAAGTTGGGCTTGTTAATTGCCACTAATACCACAAAAAGAAACAATCTCCTAAAGGAACCCCTTCTGCTCTTGCCAACATTTAGAGCCTCAGGAACACTATACAGGGTCACTAGGGGTCAGAACTGACTCAAAGGCACTTAATAGCAACAAAGGAGCCACGGTGAAGCTGTGGGTTAAACACTGGGCTGCTAATCACGAGGTGGGTGGTTCAAACCCACCAGCCACACCAAAAGAGAAAAGAGCAGGAAACCCAATGTCAGATTACTATTAGTCAAACTGAACTCAATGTCAGTAGGTTTGACTTATGGAGTCACAGAATACAAACTATGACATACATATTTTAGCTACCTGCTCAGCAAAATCAAATATAAATAAGATCAAACCTCTAGATCGAAATATCAATTTACAAGAAATAAAGGGGACAACGTCTCCTGCCTACAACTGACTGGAATACTTAAAATGGGGCCACAACGTGCCCAGTGAAGGAGGCTTCCTGCGGAGCCTCTGCATTATATAAGACCATAGGTGGAATACTGAACCCCATCCAGAATCTTCTGAGGTTGGAAATTTCCACTTGAAAGGACGAGCAAACCAGCCTGGAGCG